CTCATATAATTCACATTAGAGCTTTCATTCGCTTAATTAATTTTCTATTAGAAGAACTATAATAATAAGTCATTAATATAACGATAGCGAAATTGAACAGTCACTGAAAATTGCTTTCTTAATTAGGAGAACTATATTGTTGAGACCGATCGAGGGTGGCACCATCTTTGCTGTTGCTACGAAGAAGCTACGTGACCGCTTGGGCGATGTCCAAGACGAAAAACGTGGGCAATGTCCAAGACGAAAAATATGACGATTTCGGGGGTTTCGAAGGCTTATTTGATCGATTTTTGAGTCTACTAATATGTCAAAAATACATAGGCCTATACATTTTTTTTCCTCCTCGACGAATTGTGGTATTTCTCCCCGACGGGGCCGTGGCACCTGGCCACCCGCTGGGGCCACCCCTGCTGCGGAGGTATCATTTTAGTTGAGGTTCTCGTGATTTAGTCGTGGTGCTAGTCGAAGTTCGTTTTAAGCATAAAAAACTTAAATATAAATAATGCACGTAAAATTCAATTGACGATTAAGGATGTCAGGAGATATTAGTCCCCATTATTTTAAAACTACTCCGGCTTCCACAAATGTTTTTGTTATTTTTTTTAAAGGTGGTTTAAATTCTTATAGTCATTTTTACGTTTTAATCGAAATAGGAACTGTTTCCAAGAGGAATATTTGTGAATGAAGTTATGGAAGTTGGGTTGCCGAGGCAGCATGGCTGGATTACGGACCACCACGTCAACAATTTGAATAACAAGGGTGTATCATCCTGAACTACAACTCCATCTATATTATTTTTGACAAGGCATGTACAACTTCGTACTACTGCTTTCAAATAAATATCCTTCTTCTTCCCAGCAAATTAGTAATGTGCTACTGTATTTTCCACTATTTTTTTTTCTAAAAGCATTATCACAAAGAATTTCATCTGGTTCTAAAAATTTAGTATAGAATTATCTATTGAACCACAGACCCTATATAGGGTCTGTGGTTGAACCAATTAGTGGCTTACCTTAGCAACGGTTTCAGCAATTACTTCGGTCACCTGCTTCAGGCTAATGAACCCTTAATTGAATTGGGTCATTCTCGATTCGGTGAGTGAGTGGGCCATCATGAGTTTTAACCCAGTGAACCCCCCCCCCACCACCCCACCTCACCCCCGTGTGCTCCGTGTGTTCGTTGTGTAATTGTTTTGTGGATTGTAATCATAGTGATAGCGATATTCAGTTTATTCAATTTTTTTTGTAGAATCATCCCCCAATAAAATAAAACAAGTGGTGCATCAAACCTGCAGTGTTTATGGTTGTAGAACTACCACAAAAAAAAAAAAAAAAAAAAAAAAAAAAAAAAAAAAAAAACAGTATTTGCAAACAACAAGGTGCTTCCTAGTGAAAAGTTGCGAGACGTTGGTGGCGCTGTTTTTAAATAGACCAGATAAAATTGTGTATGTCAAAAAATAATGAATATTTTAAAAGATAATGTTGGCGAAATACGTGTCTCTCCAAGTTGTCTTTCAGTGAATTTGCTCTCAATGGTTTGAATGATTTGCTTTGAGCCCGGAAGTCATATAAAGAGAAAGTTTCTAAGTAAGAAAGAGATGAATGTGAAAATGACAACGGACTGCCATTGGAGCAGTAACCACCAATGGCGTTTTCCGACAGATTGTTAAAATCAAACGGTACTGGGTTTGGTCAACTGGATTTCGTGCTTCGATCAAGACATCCATTCATAGAAGTCATATGAAGGCTGTAGAATGGCATGATCAAGACTAACTTCGACTTTAGATTTGTAGTAGAAGGAAACATTGTTAAATAGTAGACAAAGTACACATTATTATATATTATTATTAATTAATAAATTTATTTATTTATTCTAAATCGTTTGATAAGGCATTACATAATTTTCATGTGTAATATATAATAATAGTGGAATTATGTAATTTATTAAAAATATATTGGTACAATAGTATGTATATGTAACGATAAAAACAATACGATAAATACAAAAAGTATGACATTTAACAGTGAAGTAAAGATAGAAGGAAGAAAAAGAAAAGAAACTACGGAGTGGCTCAAAATATTTTCCGGAATTTGTGTATAAAAAGAGTAGGCCTATGTTTTTAAACAAAATTTTGGGAGACTAAACATCAGAGCCGATGTCCATACGAGCCTAACCACGTTCACTGTGGAATCGATAATAACTGTTTTTTGCGTCAGGAGAATTAAATAGGTGTAAAACGATTGGGCAAAATTTACGTATAATAATGCACCGAATACTCAGTACGTTTGAGGACATATGATCTGGATATCGTGGATTCGGAACTCGAGCCCAACCGACAACAATGCGAAGTGTCCTCAAAACGTACTGCAGTATTCGGTACATTATTACACGTCAGGTTGGGCAACATTTACACCAATAATGTTAAAGTTAAGAATTATAATTGTGTTTTAAAACGATTGATATAATTGTAGTACAGTATAAGTTATAAGTTAAGTAATTTATGACGATTTTGAATTTAAAAAAAAAAGTGTAGCGTTTCCATAATGAGAGAGAAAAACATATTTTAGTTCCAACTAATTGACGAAGGCTGGGAGGGTTATGTATTTTCTGCTTATGGCGTCTTACTACCCCATAATAGTAACCAAGCGTCTTTACGGGGTGATTGTTGATGACAATGTACTATAATATACGTGTATGTAAGTACCAAAACTCATCAGTATTCATTATTATATCGACGGTAGCCGTATATATATCCATTTTTTGGGGCGTAGCATAATTTCACTCCAGCCAATAGCACAATTGATTTTTTCACCGTGCCGGTCACGCTGCTTATAATTATTATAAGGCATTAGTAGAGCATGCATCGATCCACTAAATGGAACCAAGACCGAGAGGTCGAATTACGCCCTATCTAGTATCAAAATAGAATTGTGTTTGATAACACAATTCTCAATTTTTGATACTCTTAGACGTCAGAAACAAAACAAATAACATACACATTATATAACTGGCTTAAAGTTTTTATTTAGAAAAAATGAACACACCGTGTATACTGCACGTTACCGGAAATATACATAAATTGATTACAGTATAAGCATAGATCTAATACCGATTCTGAACTAAACATCACATGGATGCTCCAACAAGATAGCCCTCTTAGTAATATAACTAGTAAGAAATGGGCGGATGGGAGGGTGGAGTCAAATTCTTACTAGTTCTGAGGCATGTTCCTCGTGGAACCAAGATTCGAGAGGTCGAATTACGCCCTCCCTATTATCAAAATAGAATTGTGTTTGATATTAACACAATTCTCAATTTTTGATACTCTGAGACGTCAGAAGCAAAACAAATAACATACACATTATATAACTGGCTTAAAGTTGTTTTTATTTAGAAAAAATGAACACCCGATTGTGTATACTGAACGTTACCTTAAATATTATACATAAATTGATTACCATATTGTCTAATACGATTCTGAACTAAACAGCACATGGCTACTCAGAGAAAATAGCCCGCGGCAGGTGCCTGAGCACCGCCAGGAGCAGCCCATGTGAGTGCAGAAGAAACGGAAGAGTGTTCACTTTTATCTGGCAATACTAAAGAACAATGAATGTTACGAATGTTTCCTGATGATGACATAATTAATGTCGAAATATTAAATCCCAACACGATGGCCTGTATTTCAATACTTGGAGTATGTATTATACTTTCTTATCTGAGATTAATCAGTGGACCTTTCGGTTAATGAATGTTACTGGTTGTAATATAACAATGGTTAAATCGAGCTCTGTTCTACAGTCACAGTCTAGGCTGATGCCAATTCTAGTGATGTGCTTGTAAATTCACTTTGTCATTGAAGTTCAACACAGTGTAAACAAGGCACCGCCTACTTTAGCAAATAAGGTCAAATACTAACAATTAAAAAAGGCACACCCTGGGATGATGCCTGTTGCAGTGTTATGCACTAACATAGTTTCCCTTTCCAATAATTTTTGCAACAATGTAACAACGAAAGCTCCAACATTATGCTTTTTTCCTAAGTTAACAACAATTTAATATACAAGGCACAGCCTGTGCTGATGCCTATTCAAAAGTTTATGCAATAGCATTGCTCTTTTTCAAGTTCACAACTAACATAACAAGACACAGCCGGGGCTTATGTCTAATCGAGTGAAATGCGCAAACATTTGACTTTCCTACGAAGTTTGGCAAAACAATAATAACAAGGCATATTCTGCATTTCACCAAGTTTAACAATGTAATAACAAAAGCTCTCATATAGTAAAGTTCAACAACAATTTAATTGAGTGAGGCACAGCCTGGGCTGATGCCTTCAGTGGTATGCAGTAACATTGCACTTAGTCATGGTCAAATTCAGCAATATCAATAACAAAGCACAGCCTGAGCTGATGTAAGCTAGTGTAATGTGCTAACACAGTTTGTTTGATGACATGGCTGAGGTGCTCAATATAATATAGGGGCCTTCCCTTTTTAAATACAAAAAAAAAACTTCCCAATTTTTGGTCTGAATAACGCATACCGCCTCAACGCGTCGACTTTGCATAGTGCACTGTGATGTTTTGCATTAATAGTGTATACTTGCGCGTCCCCCTTGTGGTGTTTATACTTGAATCGTATTATATTATAATGTGGTTGTTGTTAGTTTAGTTCCCAAAATCAACCTCGAAAAAAAAAACCATCGCGGAAAGAAGCCCATGGGCTTCTCTTCGATATAGTACAGTACACACTGTACATGAATTTCAAAGAACCTGAAAAAAAAAGCCCATCTCGAAAGAAGCCTACCAAAAGTTCGCAGAAAAAGTCCAGGGCTTCTATAAGAGGTTTTACGGTATAACAATAGATGGATGAAGAGTAAATACTCATATCCTTGTCAGCCCAGCGTATAATGGCTGGAGTATCGCTGCATCTGGGTCTGGCTCCTATTATACCTGCAATGGGAATATGCAACTAAACACTGAAATATATCACTTCAGTTTTTACGGCATATAACAGTAGGCTGATGCATTATATGTGTTCAGGTTTTTGAAGCCCCAGCTCACAACTCTTGAATACGTACTGCATCCAGATCTTGGCTGTGTAACAGGGTAAATGACTTCCCCACTTGTGACCCAGCCAGCATGACAACAGTCATATCCTGACTGGTGTGCGTACTCTAATTCTGCTCTCGTCGCCATTCTGCCGCCGCGACTATTGCACAAGGCATGAGCATCTTGGTAGTTCAAGGAATAACGACTTTCTCCACGTCCATTCACGACACGATGAGAAGGAAAAGGGTCAGTGTAAGACTGGTTTGCTAGTGGAACCAAGCAAAATGCCAGATATTCGTTAGTCAGTGGCTTGAAGCGAATATAATTACCTGCCGGATAAAGCCAGAAGTCTGGTGGCGTATGTCCTTTACATGGATTACCTGCCAGCATCTTTGAGAGCCATCCTTTTACGCAAAGGTTAACTCCTAGTGACAGAGAGTTATTATAAACCTCAAGAGGTGTTGCAAGATGACCATTGAATTTAGTACTGCAACATGTCTTAGCATCTTCTGCATTCAACATTTTTGAGTTACTATCTGTCAGTCGAAGGATCCGTTGGATTTTGGGTAAATAGTCGAATGTATCTGCCAATGGGTTATAATCTCTGTGACAATAAACCCCACTCTGATATGTTTTACAAGGAAACACATTGCTACCTCTTCTGGTGGTTTTAATGTGCATTTATCTGTTAGTTCTGTAAATGCAATCTCTCCACTGATAAGCCAGCCCTCTGTGCAGTTGTTCAGAGTCGGTTTAAATGCGTTGTATAGCTGCTCGTAAAAAGCAATGGAGCCTAAATGATTACTGCAAAATTCCGCGGCATCTTCATAGTCATCATTGACTGCCTTGAAGTATACACCATCTGAATTTGAAAATAACTAATGATAATATATAGAATATAATATTTTTATTGATTTTGGCATTTTTTTAAAAGAACTATTGATAGTTTTTCAAAACGGAATAATTCTTTGCAATGTGCTGAAAAATAGATCTGGCATGGCTAAAGCACAATTTAACAAGAAATCGGGGTTTTTTTTTATGATCCTTATGCGTTCGAAAGATTATGATGATGTAAGTTCAAGCTATAATAGTGTTTCTTTAATAATTTATCTCAATAAAGTTTAATTAATTTATCTCAAATTAGTAGAATTGTCTACTTTAATGGCGTGGCAGGTGTATGACATGTGCATATTTAGCTGAATTTGTGGCAAATACGTGAAATAAAGCCTGCAAGTCTTGTCAGATTTTAGTACTACAGTAATATTTATTTTGGAGCCTGTTATGAATGAGATACATTAAATAAAAATATATGCAAGTCTTTAGAGGACGAAAACTACATTCAACGAATCGGAAAATGTGAAATTTTAATTTGGTTTCTTCGAATATGCTGTTCTTTAACAGCGTTTGTGATTTTTATGTCTTGTATTTTTCAAAGTAATTTCTATTTTGTGTTTTATTACTAACTGGAAAGAAGTAAACTTTCATAGATCATTGGATTGTTTCAAGAACAAAACGTAATCTTTTGATTTTACTTTTTCGAAGTTGATTGATTAAATGTCAAAACTCACAACACAAGATTTAGGCCTACGGGGTCGCCACAGAATTGGAGACACAGTTATTTGGACATTAAATGTCAAACAAATTTTGTTTTAATAGTGTAGGTCTGCTACTGCACCAAGCCAAACGGACCGAGTAGTACTATAACTCGCAAGGTCAAAATATTGATGAAATTAACACTTACGTTTCTTTAAATTACCGTCGATGACCTGTAGTAACAAAATATAAGATATATTGTCAGAATATAGAAATTAGTTAATGATTGTTATAACACATTATATAATATATAAATTCTATATTACGGTACGTAATTATATATATATATATAT